TAAATCAGTCTAAAAGCCCCAACAGTAGCCAAGCCACTGCTTCAACATTACATTACATATTCTAGTCTTCCCTTCAGGTCTTTCCTTCTAGCTTTCTTGGTTCTGAATTGAATACCCCATTGACCCTTGCTTGAAAACTATTGGAGGGGGTAGTTTTATTTATTTATTTTTTGGTAAGACAGGAGATTGAACTCTGGCCCTTGCATTTGCCAGGCAAGAACTTATTCTACTGAGCTATCTCCCCGGCCCTAATAATAATATTAATAGGACCTTTAAAGCCTTCCATGACCCATGGAACTTTAACCATTCCTCCATTCAAAAAATTACTCATTGGGCATGGCCTTTCAATTTAAATTACTAAAATAAATAAATAAATTTAAATTACTGCATGGCCTTTAAGTTTCCTCTACCAGATCAATTAGTCTGCTGCCCTTAATCTCAATCTCAGGCAAAGTCTCAGTTTGCTTGGACAAATGAGCAAAATGCAGACAACCTTTCTGCCAAGCCATAACACACACTGTGTAGTTCAGTAGGCAATGCAGTCCTCCTTTCCAGCAGAAAACTCCTGATTCTGGTCTTCACTGGTTTTCTGGTCTTTTGAGCTCTTATATAGAGCAGCCTACAGTGTTCCAGCTCCACTTTTTCATCAGGGATTTCCAAACCTTTCAAACTCTTCCCATAAATAAACCATTTGCAAAGACTCCTGAACCATATGGTCAGGTAGAGTCACTGTGCTAACCCCACTTCTCTGGTACTGAATTCTTTTTCTAAAAATATTTATTTATTTATTTATTTATTTATTTATTTATTTGGCACAGGGTCTTGCCATGCAGCTCATGCTGGTAGGGATCCTCCTGTCCCAGCCTCCCTAGTGCTGGGATTACAGGTGTGTGATACCATGCCCAGTTTTGGTGGCTGGCATGATGAAGGGCTGGCATGGTATGCAGTACTGGGGTTTGAACTTGGGTGCTTGTGCTTGCCAGGCAGGCACTTACCTGAACTATCTCCCTGGCCCCTTTTTCACCTATTTGAAAGAGGGTCTCCCTATAGAGGCCTAGGGTTATAGGCACACACAAAGCATGACAGTATTGAAAACCAGAAACAGTATGGTGTATATGGGACAATTTACAAAACGTTTAATGAGATATTTTCCTTCATTCCTTCCTTCATGCCTTCCTTGCTTGCTTCCTTCCTTGCTTGCTTACTTGGTGCTAAGGATCTAACCCGGGCCCCTGTGCACACAAAGGAAGAGCTCTACCATTGAGCCACATCCTTAGCCCAATGAGTAAGTTTTTGATTAAAGTTCCATGGGTTGTGGAAGGCCTTAAAGGTCCTATTAATATAATCAGATTAATTTTTTTTAAAAAAAATTTTATTTGTGTGTGTGTGTGTGTGTGGCCAGCTCAGCCCACCAGGGGGCAGGGCTGGCTGGCATGTGGTGCTGGGGGATTGAACC